TGTATGCACACATACGTGTGTGTGTGAGATATTAGCTGAAGTATGGACATTAATGAGTGTTACAGACCAATCACAGGTCTGTAAGTAATCCAATGAGAATCATGTATATAAGTCACATGGAGCTGAGAGAGACTGCAAGAACATTATTTCTTTTCTTGCAAACTTGGAAAGAAAACAACATTTCCATTTGTAAAGCATTTCTGTGTACATTATCTGATTTTATCCTTAAACAACCCCAGGAGAGAGGAAACAGGGGTTATCATTTTTAGTGAGGCTGTGCTGAAGGTCACACCCTCGGAATTGGGACCAGAAACTCCCTCCCCAGGTCTCTATAGAGTGGAAGATCCCATTTTTCCAGCAAAAACATATTTAGGGGGGAAAAAAAAAAACTAAACTACCAGCTGCAATCCCTACCCAAACCTTCTGGGATGGCTAAAAATAAAAGAGATGAAGGTAAGGAGAGAGCCAGGTGCTGGTTGGCTGGCCTGTGCTCTCTGGGGTCAGGTGGGCAGCTGCTGTGGGCTCTCTCTGCAGACGGGTGGGAGGGGGAGGCAGCTGATGTGGGCCTGAGGGCCCCACAGCCTTGGCCTTCAGTGAGTAGCACTGCTCGGTCATCTAGTGCAAGAACAAGCATAGCCAAATGGGACCCTCCCAAACAGAGGCAGCCTCACCAACTCCTTCTTTCCCAGAGGGGAAACCAAGGCATCACTGCGTACACACTGAGGAGAAAGGCCGAGTGCTGGAGTCTGGCCAGAGTGGGAGGCTGGAGTGTAGTGGTTGGATGGAAGCTTGGGTTCAGGGACCACAGACGGGGTTCAGACCCCAGCACTCCCAGAAGACAGGGTAGCCTGGAAAAAGAGCCGGAGCTCAGTTCAGTGACGGCACAGTGCCTCCTGTCTGCAGAACCCTTCATGCTGGCCACAGCAGGGGCCTGGCCATGCCAGTGACCCAGCCAAGGTCACTCTTCCTAAGGCCCATGCTGGCCAGGGTGCCTGGGGTAACATGTCTGTGGCTCAGGGGCTCATTGGATGGGACTCCCCTGGGGAGTCAGACTGAAAGGGAGCCAGGTACCTGCAGCAGCTGAAGGATAGCTTCCCCCCACCCTACCCTACCCCCATCTGTGCAGGAGCCTCGACTCTGCAGAAAACTCCTCTGGGCCAGAGGCTGCGGCAGGGAAAAAAACCCTCACACACAGCCTGGAGGAGGGAGTAGGAAGCCACTTTCACCCATGTGATGTGTGTGAGTGGGGCTAGGGAGGACATCCAGATGACCTTGAAGCTCAGAGTCCCTTACCCAGGGCCCATAGCAGCACTGGGCTGGGACAACTCCAATTCCCAGGCCCGGCTCGCTGCCTCTGCCCTTTCTAGCTCTCAGGGTGGCAGTCAAGGCTGCCACCAGGGCCGGGTCACCCAGATGCCCTTCCTGCACAGGAGACAGCTGGGCAGCACACCTGGGAAGGAAGAGAGGGCTGAGGATCCACCAAAGTGCGTGGCTGGGCAGAGCTGTGAAAGGGAGAGTGGCCCACGGACTCTGCCCTCTGCCAACGTTCAGGATGCCACGCTCTAGATCCTGCCTAGGAGACCTGCCAGCCACATGCTGTCCCACTACAGTGGCACTGGTCTCCAGAGTGCACAACACCAGAAAGACACTGTGCCCTCCATCCTGCCGTGCTGATGTAGGCCTCATGGCTGCAGGCTGGGTTGCAGAGGGCTCCTGCCCTCTCTCACTAGCCTGACTAGAGTCTAAGGGACCTTGGGGGGTAGGCCCCAGAGCAGGACCAGAGAGATCAGTGCTGAGCCACCAGAACAGCACCAGGCCATCTTCACAGGCTGCATGTCCAATGTGTATCCTTCTGGTCCCCAAGATCAAGGAGCCAGAGAGAGGGCAAAGTTCTACTGAGGCTGAATCACCCTGTGTCCAGAGGTCTCTGGCTATGGGTGTGAGCACAGTAGTGGGACATCATCCCCTGCTGTCATGTTTTGGGGCAGCTAGGACAGTTCTCATTCTGCTGCCCTGCTTGGCCAAGGGTAGTGGGCTGAACTAGCCTACAAGCCCCACTGGACAAGCTAACCTTGGCTATCTGTCCTACCGTTTTCCTTTGCCTCTGGGCTAAAGGCTCAGAGCCCAGTTGAGTGAACAGCACTCTGCTCAGGGACTGGAAGCAGTGTGACTCTCCCTCAAAACTTCCACCAGACCAAGGCAGGGCCATGGCATGGTGTAGCCTTAAGTCAGAGCTTTCAGGTGCTTGTCCCTCTGGGGCTAGAAGACAACTGGCCCAGTCTGTTGTATGGCCATTCAAATCCAAGACACCCCCACCTCCCACCTCAGGCTTGCCTGGGCCAACAAACATGCCAGCCTCTGCCTATCTTTCTGTTTTGTCTCCTGTTTTCCTTTCTCCAAAATCCAAATGTACTTTTGCTAGGATAATCAAGCCTGCTGTCTGCCCAGCTCCTGGCTCCACAGGGACCCTGCAAAGAAATCCATACCTGACATCAGATACCAAGAAGGAAATGGGGTAGGAGGATTGGAAGAAATGACAAGCAGGAGTGCCAACTAACTGGTAACTCCAGATACCATGGCTCCTCCCCAACCCTGGGTGGGCACAGAAAAGAGCTGCCAGAAAAGGGTAGGTGAGAAGCCTTGGCCTCCTATCCCTGCCAGTGACCAGGCAGAGTCCTGCAGACAGGTGTTGGCACCAACAACCCACCCACCGCAGCAGAGGTGGCACGGCACCCTCCTGCCCACTCAGGCTCTCAGTAGCAGATCTGCAGTTCACCTCTCTGCAGAGCGAGCAAGGGCAAACCAGCACACACTCCTGCCAAGATGCTGGACAGACACGGCACAAGGAGGCACGCAGGCTGAGCCTCTGCTGAAGCGCCGAGGCAGGGGTTCTCCCCGAGGCCCACAAAGCCTCACAGCAGTGGGAGAGGCCGTTTTTCCAATATGGTTCCAGAGTGGCTCCTTCTCAGACAGGAATGTCCTTCAAGGTCTGGGTCAGGAGTTCTGTCTGCTTCCCTGACTCCCTGTATCGCTCATTTCAGGGTCTATCACCTCCCGAAATAGTTGGTATAGTGGTTAAGGCATTTGGCTGCTAGTGAAAAGGTTGGCAGTTTGAACCCACCAGCCACTTCACAGAATAAAGATGAGGCAGTCTGCTGCCATAAAGATTTATAGTTTGGGAAACCCAGTGGGGATCACTATGAGTCAGAATTGACTCAATGGCAATGAGGTAACTGAGTTACCTCCCAGTGAGTCTGTGAGTTGTTGGAGCACAGAGGCTGGGTCTCACACCTCTCTGTATATCCACAGCTCCACAAGGGGCTTCCAGCACTAAACCTACATCCAAGGAGGAAAGGAGAGAAAGCTGAAGAGAGAAACCACGGAAAGAAGAACAGAAAAGAAAAAGAACAAGATGAAGAGAAAAAAAGAAAGAGACATGCCCTCTGGTTTCCCCAACGCCCGGGTCCAAGGATTGGGGCCACCCCCTTCTTGGCCACATGCACACATGTGAGTAGATGGGGATGTGGCATCTGGGACCCCTCCTCCAACTGCAGAAAGCAGTCCCAGGGGTAAGCTGGACACGCAGGTTGCTCTGGCCACCTGGTATGACAGTGCAGAGCCAGGCACTGGAGCCAGTCTGACTGCCTCTGACCCAGGCTCCACCACTCAGTGCTGCAAGGACCCTGGGCAGGTTACCAAACCTCATTTGTCAGAGGAACTAAGAATAGTATCTACCGCAGAAGTTGTTGGGGGTACTAAGTACCTCATAGGAGACAGCTTTTATTTCTATTGGGTAAGAACCAATGCTTTGAATACATGCAGTCAGTGCTCAAAAAATGTGATGAACACACACAATGCTGGAGCTCCAAGGGCTTTGCTCTTATCATCTACACAACCTGCTCGCCTCTCAGATGAGGAATTGGGAGTCCAGAGAGGGCAGGGTCATGCTGAGGTGACCTGGTCAGTGGCAGAGCCAGGCCTCACAGTGCTCTCCTGACTTGGGGTGAGCGCTGTTCCTTCAGCATTCACCCAGCATGGATGTGCCGGGTACTGGTGAGGGGCCCCTCCTGGAGCCCAGTCTGGTGGGAGAGCAGCCTGAACAAGCTCTAACACTGAGACAAGTATAACACTGTGGCCAGGCTGTGAGGAGCCACTTGGAGCCACAAGCAGCTGCAGGGGTGTGGACCTTGTCAAGATGGTTAGTGAAGGTCTCCCTGAGAGAGGGATAATGGAGCTGAGGAGGGGATGAAAGGTGAGGAGGGGACCAAGAGAAGGGTACCACAAGTGCAAAGAACAAGACTGAGAAGCAACAGGCTAGGGCCCACATGGCAATGAAGAGCATGGTCTGAGGGGGCTGGAGAGGCCAGCCAGGGCCGACAGTGCAGGGTCTCATGGGCCTAAGAACAACGGGAAGCTGAAAAGGAATCAGTCCCCTAACTGTTACTTCCTCAGGGCCCCTGGGAGCCCAGACAGTCTCCAACCCCATACTGTACCACACCAACATCCTCAGGTCCATCCACAGCCAGCACCAGTCTGACTGGCTCAAGCACATCCTCGGGCCTCCCTTGCCCCTCTGGCTTTCCTGGGGTCTCCTCGTTTGCTGGGATTATGCCCTTTCTCTTCTTTTCCTGACCCAACCTCAGCCCTTCCAGGCCCTTCTCCCAACTGAGCCCTCCTCCAGCTATGATGGTCGTCATCATACCCAGTAGTAAAACTCGGATTAGTGTCCGGTATTTCTGGCTTGCCAGTTATTCCAAGTTATCGGTCCACATAACTGCACACTATGCTCCCAAGGGTAGTGGTGCCTCAGACTTTGCCAGCAGGCATATGATTCAACACAGCTCCAAAGCTGGGCACACAGCTGGCCCTGGAGGGCATGCTACACACCAGCAGAAACGTCCCTATGGCCAATGGCGGAGCCTGGCTGATCCTCCAGCACAGTGGGCAGATGCCTCCCCTCAACACCCTGGCCCGGAAGAGCCCTGAGAGCCCGCACACACCTTCTGCATCCACTGTCTCCTTCATGATGATCTCCACCCGCTCCACGTGGTGCCGGCTCCAGAGGTGGTCCAAGGCCTTGCGGTTCTGGTCTCGGAACGGTAGGATCTGGGCCACAGCCTATCAGGGAAGAAGACTGGTTTTGCTCCAGACTCTTCTTGGTATGAAGGAGGACTCCTCACTCCAAAGGGGTGCCCAGCCTCACTAGTACCTGCTTGGAGGAGAAGGTGTGATCTGGAGCAGGTGTTCCTGGGAGTCTGGGCTTCACGGCCCGGGAGAGACTCCGAAAAATCTTAAGTGACCTCCATGAGGTTAACAGCTGTTTATTTTGCCAAGAAAGAAAAAATATTTAAAATGGTCTATCTTCATTACCATCAACTCTACATAAGGGAAAATATTTTAGCACCAATAATGTAGCAGGAAAACCTTTGAATTGAACATTTTTCTTCCTTTTGCCGTAAACGGGTAAAGCACTAGTCTGAGGACCACCATTGGAAACCACTGCTATGGGCAATTCCATAGAGGGATGCATGGAAAACATGCCTCTGTCCCAGAGAATTGCCTCGGCCCCACTGACCTGCCTTCACCACATACGCTTTACCAGGCATTGCTCCTAGAGATCTTAATACTAACATTTTCTAAAAGGAAGGCAGGTATTATCACTATGGGACAACAGACAGGAAAATTAAGTCAAAAGCTTGGCAAAGCCCAAAAGAGAACTCAGGCTGGTGGTTGCTGGCCCAGGGCTGATTCCAAACCCTCTGGTGGATCAACAGAGATGCCTCCACCCTGCTGCCCAGCCCCATGGCCCTGTGCTCACCCCTACTCAGGACCAGAGAACACAGGGGGGGCTGGTGTGCTCCCTGCTAGGGCTTCAGAGTAGACACTGTGGAGGGGCTCTGAGTGCACAGTCAGCATAAACTGGCCAGCTGATATGCATGACCTAGGAGGTCAGCCCCAGGCTCCTGCTACACAGCCTGGCTTAGAAGCATGGTCTTACCCACCAGCCACTCCTCGGAAGGAAGGGTGGGCAATCTACTTCCATAGTGATACTGCCTCGGAAACCCAAAGAGGGGTAGCTATGAGTCGGGTCCGACTCAATGGCACATAACAACAACAACAACTCCCTTATTCAGTTTTAAGGGCTTGTTACCAGAAAAACAGAAAAGAGCAGTTGGGTGCTAAATAAGAAGGCTAATTCTAATTCCCACAGCACACCCAACTGGAAGCTGATTCAGATGCCAGAGTCCTGGGGCCACATCTCTGTAGAGGATGTGCACACACATACACACACACACACACAAAAAAACTCACTGCCGTTGAGTCGTTTCCAACTCATAGCAACCCCTCCTTGGGTTTCTGAGGTGGTATCTCTATGGAAGTAGATTGCCCAACCTTCCTTCCAAGGAGTGGCTAGTGGGTTTGAACTGCCAGCCTTCTCGTTAGCAGTCAAATGCCTTAGGCACTACACCATCAGAGCACCCTGATTAATCAGAAACCAGAGGAGGGGACCAGAGAAGACAGGGATACACCAAAGAACACACCTCCACTGGCGAGACTGAACATATGGACAAGGACCAAGCTGCCCTGTGCTTGCTGCTCACTGCCTTGCCTTTGCCCGCTCACCACCCACCACCCCCAAGAAGACCATGGGGCTCAGGTTTCACATGTCTTTAGGACTGTCAATGGGGTCTACCTGCAGCCAGCCCATCTCAACCCCAGCAGGCCCCTGGCTGAAGCTTACCTGCTTGCCAAGGTAATGGTCTACCCGGTACATCTCCTCCTCTTGGAAAAAGCTCCCAAGTTCTGTGGCCAGCTGCTGGGCTGAGCTGTGGTCATGGCCAAAGGGTTTCTCGAGGACAACCCGCAGCCAGGTGCCTGGGCCCGGGCGGCAACTGCTGTTGATGTTGCGGGCAATGTCTGCATAGGCGAAGGGCGGCACCGAGAAGTAGAAAATCCTGCCAGCCTCCTGGAGGCCTTCCTGTTGGACCTGCGCCTCAATGTCCCTGCCCAGGGACTGATAGTCCTCAGCCGTCTTCAGCTGGCGGTACTGGCTTAGCTGCAGGAACTGGTCCTTGAGCTCAGTGCATTGACTGGGGGCCATGTCTTGGGGGCAGGAGAGGGTCTCCAGGGCCTTGTCTATAAGCTGCTGGCCCTGCTTAAGGGGCGTCAGGGCAGCCCCATGGAAGCTAAAACTGTGGCCCTTTCCCACCTCATCCAAGTAGAGCTGGAACAGCCCCTGCCACAAGTACTTTCTGGCCAGGTCCCCAGTTGCTCCCAGCAGGATTATGGAGACATGTCCCTGGAGTTCCTGGGCCTGCAGGCAGCCCAGAAAGGCTGTGCACACAGCTACTGTGAGCATCTTCCAAAAGCCTGGGTACCTGGAGTACATGGGAGAGACAGACAAGGAAAAAGGAAGGATCAGACACGGTTTGGGTGGCTGCAGCGGGGAAGTAAACACATTTCTAGGGTATCAAACATTTCCTGCCTGGCAAGAAACAGCCATGTGGTTTTTTTTTTAGGAAAATGTTATAGCCCCACAGCCTCCCCTCCATTCTCATCAGCTTGGCTGCTGTGTCAGGAAACCAGGGCATAGGGAGACTGCCTGCACATAGGGATTATGTCCACAAAGGCTGTGTGGGCCGCTTGCTAGAGATGGATTTGCTGCTAGGAGCATGAGACGGGGCCCAAGCTACCAGGGAGGCCCACAAGGCTGCCAGGAGGTCAAAGACTGGAGCTGTCCACTTTAAGCCCAAGGCCAGCCCTGCCCATGAGCAGAGGTGGCCTGGGCCTTTGGGGCAACTCCAATCTGAGAATGGTAACAGGCTGACTGCTTAGATTGAGAAGATCTGATCACCTCCACTTCTCTCTGCTTTTCCCATGTCTTCTGGGCTCCAAGTAAAAAACAATGAATAATAATTGCTATAGCAGAGTGATTAAAAACACAGACCTTGGAGACAACTGCCTAAGTCTGAATCTCAACCACCTAATAGCTGTTTGACTTTGGAGAACTCAGTTTCCTCAAATGCAATGGGGATGATAGTGGTATTTAGATATAAGGACGAAAATTGTTAATGTTTACAATCTTTTTAGTACAGTGCCTAGTACCTACTAAACACTGTAAAAGTAGTTATTATGGAATTCCATTATGGAATCTCAGTAAGAGCAGCAAACACTGTGCCAAACAGTAGACTAAACATTGGGACGAAACATGTCCCAAACAGTGGACTGAAATGTATGTGCATTAGGGCTCACTGAATCCAGACAAGAATCCTGGAAAAACCTACATGGGATGGATACCATTATTTTGTTGTTGTTGTTGTTGTTGTTATGTGCCGTCAAGTTGGACCCGACTCATAGTGACCCCTCCTTGGGTTTCTGAGGCAGTATCACTACGGAAGTAGATTGCCCAACCTTCCTTCCAAGAAGTGGCTGGTGGGTTTGAACTGCCAGCCTTCTGGTTAGCAGTCAAGTGCCTTAGGCACTACACTACCAAAGCTCCTAGATACTATTATAGTTCCCCCATTTTGCAGATGGAAAGACTGAGGCTCTCATGGGAGTGGCCTGACATCAGGCTCCCTGGCTCCTGAGCCACATGGGCAGCAGTTGATGCCTTGGCCTCCCCCAGGTAAGGCTGGCATCTTGGCTGTTTTTCTGCCCACTTTGGGACAGCTGACAGGTATGAAAGGTGAAAATCCCAGGGCCTGTCACAAATGCACCAGAGGACCTGTTTTTTTCTGGTCTTATATTCTGACCAAAGCTGTATAGCTTAATGGGCTGAATTCTCACTCCACAGCTTCTACCCAGTTTTCCAATTCCCACTCTGGCTGATGTGTTGAGGGCAAGGTAGAAGGAAATGAGGCGGAGAGTAACCCTGGTCAGCAACACTGACCACCCACCGGGACAGAAGTAGTGACAAGGAATGAGGATGACTGCGATAGCACTTACTATGTAATTGGTATTCTACCAGATGTAACCCATCGCCATCAAGTCAATTCTGAACATGGGGTCCCCATGTGTCACAAAGTAGAACTGCAGCCCATAAGGTTTTCTTGGCTATAATCCTCACAGGGGAGCTCTGGTGGCATAACTTTACAGAAGCAGATTGCCAGGGCTTTCCTCCACAGTCCCCCTGAGTGGGTTCAAACTGCCAACCTTTAGGTTAGCAGTCAAACACAAACTATCTGTGCTACTCAGGGACCTCTACCAGACAGAGGATAAACAAAACCTCAAGCATCTCAAAGGCTATACAGGTTATGTTATTGTTCTTAGTTGTCGTTGACTTGATTCCGACTCATGGTGACCCCATGTGTGGAGCAGAACTACTTCACAGGGTTTTCAAGGCTGTGACCTTTCAGAAGCAGATAGCCAGGCCTGTCTTCCAAGGAACCTCTGGGTGGGTTCAAACTACCAATCTTTTGGCTTTTAGTGAGAGGGCCCAATCTGTCGCATAGCTCTAACATCAGACCCCCTTTTCCCACTTTCTCCTTTGCTTTTTCCTCATCTCTCAAGATCCAGCCCCAAGATGGCCCCAGTTAGTGGCCAAACCAAGATGAGGACTCAATAACTGTTTGCACCAGTGGCTGTGAGACACTAGACAACTGCTTATTGATGCCTCCCATTAATGGGAGCTTTAGCTGGAGGATCAAGGGACCACCTGAGTGGCCCTCCAAATTTCCTCTTTCACAGTCCCCCCATCTGCCAAAACCCACTGCTATCAAGTCAGATTCTGACTCACAGCGACCCTATAGGACAGAACAGAACTACCACCTAAGGTTTTCAAGGCTATAAATCTTCACAGAAGCCAGCTGCCTCATCTGTCTCCCACCGAGTGGCTCCTGGCAGCTGAATGTTTTAACCACTGTGCCACCAGAGCTCCTTCCTCCAGCTGCACTTACCCCCAAATCCACAGAGGCGCCACGGGACCACTCTACTTTCCTTACCTGCTTCCCAATCCTGTCCTTTAGCCCTTTGAGCATTTCTTTCTCAACTGACAATCACCTCTTTCTGGAAGGAAGGAAAACCTGCAAGGTCAGTGCAGGAGAGAGGCAGTGAGAAACCTGAAGCCCAGAGAACAGTCTGGTGAAGAAGGAGCTGCCAGCTGGCAGGCTCCTGAGCAATCCTGGGAGCCAGGGCTCTAGTTGTACCTGGTACAAGGGGAGGAGCTCAAGAAACTCAGTGTGCCTGGGCAGGCAGGTGGGGAGTCCCAATGGCCAGCCTCCCTACTGTACCTCAGAAGACTGCAGATAAGGGTGATGGCTGGACACCTGGCCTGAACGGACTTCTGGGCCTTCACTGGAACCCATTCTGACTCTGAGTCTTTTTTTTTTTTTAATTATGATTTGGGTGAAAGTTTACACAGCAAACTTTCCATATAGCTGCTCACATTTACTTTGTCTCATGACATTTACTACAATTTCTCACAATGCCAACAGCTTCCTTCCCACTTCCTCCCCATTGTTACCTCTTTCCTGTGTCTTTCCCTCCATGCACTCCTGCCCCCTGAGCTGTCTCCCTGTGCATACACAGCTCTTCTATTCTCCCATGATTGCTCTCTCCA